CTGGCAGCCGGCCCCCCCGGCCACCCCCCCATCCCCAAACTGATGCCCGTGGGGGGGGGCACTGCAGCCCCCCAGTGTTACCAGTGAAACTCGCCAGCAAAACTCACTGCACCCCCCCTCCAGGAGCCAACCTGGCACCTTGGCTCCCCCCACAACCCCCAGGGCCACGTCAAGCATGTTTTCTTTGCTAATTAATCAGAGGCTCCTGCGGCGTGGCTCCCCCCCCGAGCAGAAAGCCCCCACCTCGGAACGACAAGGAAGGGGGACACCCCACACTCCCAGAGCTCCTCGCCTCAGCTGGAGGGGTCAGCCATGGCCTGGGTGGGGTGAGGATGGTGGTCACGGCCCCCCCTGGCCACCCCAAAGCAGCCTCGGGGCTCCCCGACCCCCCCTCCCACCCCCCAAGCCCACCTGAGTCCCCAGCAGCTGCGAGCAGGGCTGAGACTGGCTCAAACTCATCACACAGGACACCCCAAGCATCCCTGGGGCAGGCAGGGACGGCGGCAAAAGGCAGAGGGTGACCCAAAAGGCCCCCCAGCACCCCAAAAAAATGGGAAGGGGGGGACCGAAGAGGGGAGGTGGGGAGGGGGGGGCTGGTCCCCCAGCCTCACCAGAGCAGCTGAGCGGCGGCGTCCAGCCCCCATCCAGCTCATTACCTGCTTCATAAGCACCCTGATCACACGGGGAAATACGCTAATTAAGGAGAAGGGTTTTTCTCTCTCTCTCTCTCTCCTTCTCTCTCTCCTTTCCCGAGTCAGTTGTGCCAACCCTGCCCCTGGCAAGGTAACATTCTAAAATGTAAAATTAATACAAAGGGCCGGGATTTACTGGGAAACAATTTTCAAACGCATAAAAAACAATACCAAAAAAATTAAAAAAAAAACCCCAAACCCAATCCCCTTCTCTCTGCCTTTTATTTAAAAAAAATTATTTATTTTAATGATCGTTATTAAAGTCCAAGCAAAGGCGATTGTAGCAGGAGGGCCTGTGCTTATCAGGGGAATAATAACAATAATTATATTTTTTGAAAAAAAAAAAAAAAAAAAAAAAAAAAAAACTAAAAAATACCCCAAACCACATCTTCTCCTCTAATGAGTCAGACCCTCCAGCACAGGGGACATGGATAATGGCCTGTGTTGCCTTTCACTCCCCTGGGCCTGTGCTTATCAGGGGAATAAAAACAATAATTATATTTTTTGAAAAAAAAAAAAAAAAAAAGAAAAAAATCAACTAACTCCAAGGGCCTTCTCGGGACTGACAAATTGCTGAATTAAAGCTGATTAG